AGAGTTGTCATGACAGAACAGCATTTATTTGAAATAGAAATCGTTTGTAACATGTCTTTACTGTCACAATTTAATGTATCCTTGCTGAATAAAATAAAACATCCATTATGTTGTATTAAAAAAAAAATTTGTTCTGACCCTAAACTTTTAAACAGTAGTGTATAAGTAATACAGATATACAGTTGTAATCAAAATTATTCAACCCCCATTGCAAATCAGGTTTATTGGCAAAATTTACAGACTTTCAGCTATTTGCAATGAACAAATTAAACAAAATAAATTGAAATAGCTCAACACAACAAATGTTTCGGGGTTTCCCCAAATTCAACTGAAAATGCAAATTTTAATGACTTCTGCAGTCTCAAAATTATTTAACCCCTTCATGGCAAGCATTTTTAGTACTCAGTAGAACACCCTTTTGCTGTTATGACCTGCTGCAAACGAGATGTATAACCAGACACCAGCTTCTGGCAGCGTTTCTGAGGAATCTTAGCCCATTCATCATGAGCAATGGCCTCCAGATCAGTAATATTCTTGGGTCTGCGTGCTGCAACCGCTTTCAAATCCCACCAGAAATTTTCTATGGGGTTCAAGGCAGGTGACTGTGATGGCCACTGTAGAATCTTCCAGGACTTCTTCTGCAACCAAGCCTTGGTGGAATTTGAGGTATACTTGGGATCATTTTTCTGTTGGAAGGTCCAATGATGCCCAAGCTTCAGCTTCCTCAATGATGGCAAACGTTTTCTCCTAGGATTTCCTGATACTTCAATGAATACATCTTGCCTTCCACACACTGCAGGTTTCCAGTTCCAGAGGATGCAAATCAGCCCCTAGCGCATCACCGAGCCACCACCATGGTAGACTGTAGACAGAGTGTTCTTTTCAGCATATACTTCATTCTTCTTTCTCCAGACATACCGCTGATCCATAGGGCAGAACAATTCCAATTTGTTTCATCGCTCCACAGAACAGAATCCCCAAACTTCTCTGGCTTATATATATGATTTTGAGCAAATTGGAACCAACTTTTCTTGTGCTTTTGGGTCAGTAGTGGTGTACGTCTTGGAGTTCTGGCATGGAAACCGCATGAGTTTAGTACGCGCCTTACTGTCCAAGCTGGAACCTCAGTGCCTGTTGCCATCAAGTCTTACTGCGGGTCTTTTGCAGTCACTCAAGGGTTTTCCTGAACCTGCCTTCTCATAAATCTCATGGCAACTATTCTTTTTCTGCCCCGTCCAGGCAGTGTAACCACTGTTCCTTTAAAGTTCACCCAAAAATGAAAAGTCATTAATTACTCACCCCCATGCTGTACCAACCCCGTAAGACCTTCGTTCATCTTCGGAACACAAATGAAGATATTTTTGATTAAATCTGAGAGGTGGATACCTGCTACATAGGCTTCCTAAGGGAATGACTCAGGGGGGCAGTGGAGAGCTTTGTCTGCCAATCAATAATTCAGTGTAATATATTTTATAGATATATAGAATAAGTGTTAGTATTAATGGGTCAAGTGTTGAGCCATTTCTTGAAAGCAGCTAAAGACTCAGCTGCTCTGGTTGAGTTAGGCAGGTCATTCCACCAGCTGGGAACTGTCAAGAAGGTAAAGGTCCGTGAAAGTGATTTTGTGACTCTTTGGAATGGCACCACAAGGCGCCGTTCACTTGCAAAACGCAAGCTTCTGGAGTGCACATAAGTCTAAAGTCGTGAGTTTAGGTATGGGGTGCAGAGCCAGTGGTTGTTCTATATAGGTAAATATCAGTGGCTTGAATTTTTGATGCGAGGGGCAATTGGCAACCAAAGCAAGTTTGAGGAGAGGTGTGACGTGCGCTCTCTTCAGCTCGTTAAAGACCACTCTCTCTGCAGCGTTTCTGGATCAGATGCAGAGGTTTGGCAGTGCATGCTGGAAGGCCTGCCAAGAGAGCATTACAATATTCCAGTCTGGATAGAATAAGAGCTTGGACAAGGAGTTGTGTAGCATGCTTCGATAGGAAGGGCCTGATCCTCCTAATGTTGTATAAGGCAAATCTGCAGGACTGGGCAGTTCTAGCAATGTGGTCTGTGAAGTTTAACTGATCATCAATCTTAACTCCAATGATCCTGGATGTCCTGGATGGAGTTATGGTTGACGAACCTAGCTGAATGGAGAAGTTGTGATGAAGTGTTGGGCTGGCTGAGACCACAAGCAGTTCTGTCTTCGCAAGGCTGAGTTAAAGGTGGTGGTCCTTCATCCAGCAAGAAATGTCTGTCAGGCAGGCTGAGATACGAGCAGCTACCGTCAGATCATCTAGCTGGAATGAGTTGTATGTCTTCAGTGTAGCAGTGATTGGAAAAAAACATGTTTCTGAATGACAGATCCTAGTGATGACATGGAGATGGAGAAGAGAAGTGGTCCAAGCACTGAGCCCTGAGGCACCTCCGTAGCTAGATGTAGCGACTTAGACACTTCACCCCTCCATGACATTGTGAAGGACCTAGCTGAGAGGTAAGACTTTGGAGTGCGGTTCCTGAGATGCCCTTCGTCATGAGGGTTGACAGGAGGATCTGGTGGTTAACTGTGTCAAAAGCAGCAGACAGATCCAGAAGGATAAGTACCGAGGATTTGAAAGCTGCTCTTGCCAGTCTCAGAGCTTCAATAACCGAGAGCAGGCCAGTCTCAGTTGAGTGGCTGCTTTTGAAACCAGACTGGTTGTTGTCCAGGAGGTTGTTCTGTGAGAAAGGCAGACACAAGTGTTTTTGCAATAAACGGAAGAAGGGAGACCGGACTTTAATTTTCTAAAAGTGCTAGATTTAGAGTGGGTTTCTTAAGCATATGACATTAAAACTGATCACTTTTAATGTAAAAGGTCTAGCAAGAAGCTATAGCTTTGATTGCTGGAACTAAGCATGGAAGCAAAAAAACTGTAAAATTAAATACAGCATAATCTTAATTCATATTGAATATCTTTAATTGGAAATTAATTCAATGCAACATTATTTAGTAAATTGATTTCAACAAAAAACTAGCACAGGTTGTACTGCAGTATGGCAGCACCCTTGCTACAAAAGTTTTAACAGAAGTTAGTTTTGTTTTCTTTTAAATGGTTTATCATGCTTGTTATATAAATGATTAGAGTGGAAATCCATTTACTAAAGAATGTTAACTTAACTGACGGCTTCATTTCCACTTTCAAATATGAACCAAACAAAGCTATGACTTCCCTGTGACCCTAACCAAAGTTGCTTACGTAAGATTATGTCTTGGAATAACTTAATTTGCTTAAACAGTTGTGTGAGGGGTATATCTAAGAGTGTGTAGTCATGGCTTCATCTGTTAGGCTTGATAAATGTTTTTAGTTAACTGTGAAGCACTTTGGGCAGCACCGTTGCTATTAAATGTGCTATATAAATAAATAGAAGTTGAAGAATACCATGTTCGGATGTTGTTTAAGTTATCTTAAATGAAGTTTTATGTAACAAAGTTCGGGAGGACCACTTTCAGGTAATCAACCAATCAGCTCAGGAGGAAGCCGCTATAAATAAAGCTTTTCCTCGCCTCTTGTCTCACGACAAGTGTCTCAGACACTCGGCTGGGTCTACCCCAGTATAGGGGGGAGTACTTTGGGTTCGGGCAAAATTCCGAGCTCGGAGCTCTCCCCCGGCGGCAAGCCAAACACGCATAAATACAACTTTAGATTTCATGTACGTGTGAACTCGTGAACCTATCAAAACCTGTAGAAATGAAATCAACCGATTGTCCATTTGACTATAAGTATTGTTTCTGTATCTTAAGTAATTTTGAGGCTGGATCCCATTCCCTACTAATTGTCTATGGACTTTGGAAGTGGGGAGAACTTTGTCTTCAGTAAACTCTCTGTCAACTGATTGAACTTCAACGTTGACGCATGTCTTCATTGAGCATAATGGTCTCTTCATGTGGCTTAACTTTAATTCCCCTATACATACCTAAAATCAAATAGATCAGACAATTTCTGAAGATGCCTTATATTTAATGTTCAGTTGTCACACTATCCATTGATTTGGTTTATTCTTTATTAAGAATTGACTTATATTGTTGTTTGAGAATCAGTTAATCTTATTCAATTATTTCATAATACTTTTTTCAAGTTAACTATTAACTGTCAGTAATCAGTAAATCTGTGTTAACTGCATCTAAAGTGCATCACGGTCAAACTGTCTTCCAAATCATGAGACCTGATAATGAAGATTAACTAAATGAAATTGATTATAAACCGGTCCAGACACAAGGATCACAGACAATGTCAACCTGAGACGTTCTTCGAATGTTTGAAACAGATTTTGAATGTGTATGTAAGTTTTTCCAAGCAAATGTGTTTTATCATTGTTTCTCCTTACATAATTTCTGCTGCATGTTTATCAAAGATCAGCAAAGAGACAGGAAGTTTCAAAGTTTCATCTCAGCAGGAAAAGTGCTGACACTAACCCAGCTGTGCACTGCTGCACAAACAAAAAATACAGGATGTTAAGAGAACCATGCAAATAAATCCACATTGATTCTCTCCAAATGAATGCTTTAAAAATCACGTTGTCCACAGTCCTCTGATACTCAATTGGTTGTATTTTCTTTTCAGTGTTGCACCCAGCCCCCTCTTTCAGGCCTTAGGGAAAACAGAGGTCTGGAATGCAGTTCTTTAACTGTTTCCTCTCTGGACATTTTTAGCAAAAACAAAAGTTAACTTTGTGTTTTCTTCTTCTTCTTCTTCTTCTTCTTTTAACAACAGAGACATGAAGAAATGAACAAGTAAGAAAAAAAAACGAAAAAGACTTTGCAGTGACAACAAAATATCGAATGCACTTAGACTTTTTTTCAGCTCTAAGTTCTGGCTTGTACCTTCAAACACATTATGGAGGTTACATATATATATATACTGTATATATATATATTATTGCTGATGCGTGTAAACCCTGGGTGAATAAGTGAGCTATTAAAGTTTTTGAAACAGAGACAGGGACCTTTGCCCTGCTTTTAGTCAGGAAAAACAAGAGGAGTATAAATAGGAGGAGCCGTTTGGGAGCGTGTTGTTTTTGTCTAGAATCAGCTCAGAAAGCATCGCTGGTGAAGACTCTCAAGTAAAATAAGTAAGTGTGCACTCCTCAGTTATGAGATATCTTATTATTTTTGCTCTTTTTAGTTCTTTTGTAAAACAACATCTTTGCATTACTTATGCACTTTTTAAACTTAGATTAAAAATGAGATGCTTGAGGTTTTAATGTAGTTATATATGAATGCATTATTTGCGCACCAGTTCGTGCACATTAGTTTAGCTCTGACAACTACATGTTATAAATTTGCAATGTCCTCCAATAGCATCTGGATGGACTACTATGGACCGTCCGTAAATGATACTATGGTAGTTCACCCAAAAATGAAAATGATGACAGAATTTTCATTTGTGAACTCTCCTTTACCATATAATTACCATAATTACCGTAAATACAGGCACATGAATCTTTTTTGGCTAATATAAGAACGATGCGATTAGATATGCAATTGCTGAGTGGGCAGAAATTGTATTATGAGTGTACCAAAAGAGGCTAAGTTAAGTCAGTATTTTATCATACATTATATATCAGTATATTTATTTTATATTTTATATTGATGTAACATTTTAATCTAATAAATAAAATATAAAAGAAACAATAAAATATAGACAAATACAAATATATAATGTGTTATCGTTATATGTAAGTATATATGACATTTTAATATAAAAATGAATCAAATATGACATAATTAATAAAATAAACAATAAAATACCATATAAAAATAAAATATGCATCTTAAATGTTTGTTGCTGATTGTAAGGTTTGAATTGTATCTGCATTGTACAGTTCAAATGTCTGCTCTAGAGAACACCAAAAGACCAAAGTATTTTTTATTTTCTTTCTTTTTTATGAATGTGAGGCATAAACTGTTGATCTTTGTGTGTAGGTTAGTGGGCTTGTTGTTTGGAGTCATGTGGAAGGCGCTCAGCCTCACCCTAGCTCTCTGCGTCCTGGCGGGCTGCAGTGCAGAGAGCGAGACGGATGGAGCCCGCTGTAAACTTCCTCCTGTGTGGAAGGTTGGGGAGGTGGAGCCCATGAAGAACGCTCATGGACATGTGACAGTGGTGGCTTACTTACAGGCCAGCTGACTGTTCTGCTTGGAGCAAGCATCAAAGTGAGTCCAGACTTTTTATCGCAGTGATTAGGTATACTAACATTTTAAAATAGCAATGTTTGAGAAATAACAAGTTTGATGAAACCTTGTTTTTCAAAACCATATCTGGTCACATTCTTGATAGTGTTTTCTCTGTACTGTTTACACAAGGTGTATTTATCTAATCCAACTTGTTGAATGTTCTTCAAGGCTTAATGACTTGCTCCTGAAGTTGGAGAACCAAGGTTATGTAAATATAACCTACATGGTGGTAAACAACCGAGAAGAACGGTCCCAAAATCTGCACCACTTGCTCGAAGAAAGACTGTTAAATATCACCCTTTACGCCCAAGACCTCAGCCAGCCAGATGTCTGGCAGACCGTGAATGCTGAGAAGGATGACATTTTGGTCTATGACAGGTTTGGCTCACAACTTAATCAGCTTAATTCACCCAATGAACATGATTACCATATTACTTTATCAATATACCACTAAATACCCTTTTCCTTTTTTTTTTACCAGGTGTGGCCGACTCACTTACCATCTGTCTCATCCATACACCATCCTGAGCCACCCACATGTGGAGGAGGCTATAAGAAAAACCTATTGTGATGGCATTTGTGGAGAGTGCAACATAGAGGTAAAACAGCTGTGATTTTACAATAAATATGATGACCCCCCCCCCCCCCCCCATTTTTTTGTTTAGAAAAAAAGAGAGAAAAAATCTGAGTATTTAAAAACACTATCATTATTATTTTTCATTACAACATAAATTCTCATATTTAACTTTATTATACATAAATGCAAATTTTACGGAAGTGATGCAATTTCATAGAAGCATGAATAAAAGCATTAAAAAAGGTTCTTTACATGGCATCTCCATGAAGAACCTTAAATATCTATGGATCCTTTCCATTGCAAAAAAAATAAAAATTCTTCATAGTGGAAAAGGTTCTTCAGATTATTAAAATCACACTAAGAAAAATAAAATGGTTCTTTAAAGAATTGTTCACTAAAGAGATCTTTGGGGAACCCAAAGTAGCTCTTCTATGGCAATGCTGAAAAAAAAAAAACTTTATTTTTAAGAGGGCATACAGTATTTTCAATATGCCCTTTTCCTCTGGTCATTAGAGTTCACTGCAACTTGAAGAGTGCAAGAAATCCACAGATGTGAATACACCAGCAGATGAAGAACGGCCTCACCATCCCGATCATCATGATCATCACGAACACGGTCATCATCACGGTAGTGCGGAAAGGCATAGGCATGGTGGCTCCCACCATCACCATCCTCACCATCACCACCACCACGGCCAACAACAGGTTGATGTGGGTCAGCAGATCCTGACCCAGATTGACTTTGGTCAGGTAGCCGTTAAACAACCAGTGATGAAACGACCTTGAGCCAAGCACACTAGGTGAAAAGTCCAGTTCAGCTGACAGCAGGGGGCAGACTCTCCTGTGGCCAGCTGATGCTGACACTGACGACAGCTCTTTGGTGGGGAGGGCAGTGGGCACGTGGCAGGCCTCTGACACTGTGAGGAGACTCTTCCAGCCTCCTGACACTGACAGGGCCTGAAGGTGGAGGGCAACAACATCAGGGAGACCTGACAGTGACGTCCCGCCCACCCCACTGAATGAGAGCCGTCGCAATCAACCTGAGCCTGACCAGCAGGGGACGCTAGTTGAGTATGACAAGAGAAGTAAACAGGGCCGTTGCCTTGGTTGCAAAATTGTCTGATCATTTATAGCTTCACGGAAACATCAGTGAGCCCGGCACTGCTGGTCAGCGCTCTCGTTTTATCTACCAACTAGTATTTACACCTCAGCGTGTGGCAGCACTGGACCTTTGCATCCCATTCTGAATGATTCGCAAATTGGTTCTTTCTAATGGAAGCTAAACAATTCAATCTAAATAACCTAGTTTTTGATATTTTTCTGGTTAAATCTGTTATATAACAAACAAAACGATCTGACTTTAATGGGTCCAGTGTCTGTTTTCTTCTGAGAGTGTGTCAGGTTCATCATGTTAGTGTCTTTTCACCTCTAGATGCTTTATGTGGCATTTATGAAGGCAGGTGCGGAAACTATGCTCTAGTGGTGCCTGTCCGATGTTAGGCCATACAGAGCAGAGGGCAAAGATCACGTAACATCCTGGAACCTTTGCTATACCCAATCTAGCTATGAAAATCAGGGGTATTAAAATCTATTTTGTCATTATTCTGGAATTCAAAAAGTTGTTTTAGGATTGCTGTGTGGAGATAGAGGTGGTAAAGTAGGCGGAGAGATTCTGATCATGAATTTTAAACACTGTTAAGATACTTCATTTAAAGGTAATGGACCACTTTATGATCTATATCTGTTTTATTTTAGTTACTAACACAAATGTTGTAAGCGGGTTGTAAAATGTATATGCTCTGCATTACAAAAATGTTAATGGATCATAGGGAAATTTACAAAACGTAACTTTTACTTCACATTTATTAGAGAGGAGTTTGGGAGGGAGTAACTGGAAAAAGGTTGTCATTGTTATCTTGAGAAGGACTGTTTGAAACATTTTACATACTTAATGAAAGTTTTCTGGAAAATCTAGTATCACCTGGAAGACCCGAGAAATTGTATGAAAACAATGTTTGTGATGGTGCCAATGTCATATGAATGTGAAAAGCAAGTGGAATGTAAGAGAAAAAAAAAACATGTTACTCAGATAAACTCAAATAAAGTAAAAAACAAAACAAAAACAACAACAACCTTTGTTCATCCACTAACTTTGTCACTGTAATTTGATTTTTATACTTACCAACCATTTCATTTCATTTATTTTACAGGAAATGTTAAAAGTAACATTAAGGTACAATTTAAACGGGCCTGACTCAGTTTAAAAACTGGTTTCCAGCAGGTTCCTGTTCTGCAGAACATAAAACACAATTTACGACACATGAGAAACCATAATAGTTTAGTCACTCTGCCTCAAAACGTCTTAACAAGAATTTAAAATTCTACATTTTTAATGATAACCTTGATAAATTAATTTATATATTTTTTTAATTAAAATAATTTATTTTAATTTTATGATTACTTATAAATCAATATTATACATAACTTTACATTATACAATGAATTATTAAATTGTACTAATTTTGTTATATATTGCTATTATCTAAATATTATTTAAATATATGATTTAAATATTTTTATATAATCAATTTTAAATAAACATTTGATATTTTATATAAAAAAAAAATATATATATTAATTAGAAATTTAAATGATTAATAAATGGATTTCATTAATTTAATTTAATTAATGACTTATAAATACATAGGCTATTATTATTATTATAATAATTTGTAATTATTTGTCTCATCATTTAAATGTATATTTAGGCTATATTTAAATTATTTTACATTTCTTTAAACATTTTATGAAATATGTGTACGATTTCTAACCTATAAATACATATTATAAATGTAATTAATATGCAATTATTAGTGTTTTATAATTTAAATAAATATTTTATTTGATTTATTTCTTAAAATAATTCATTTAAATAAACTATGAACATATTTTGAAGGGAATGGAAATATAACATCAAAACTTGTTGAAATTTGAAGAAGTTAGTCTGTCCACGCGTGTATAAAACGTGTCATTCTGAAATTCACCTACAGATGGCGCGCGCGCTTTGAATAATCTTTCGTCCACGCTGCTCTCCCTTTGAGAGCCTCTCTAACATTTTTTCCCCCAGACCTGGACTCATGAGCTGTCTGCAGTGTTTCCTTCTAGACACACTGAACTGAATTATCTCTGTCCATGTGCGTGACTTTCTCCTGGCAGAAAACAGGTAAAGAGAAAACGAAGGAGAGATTTTCTACAATAACTTTAAGCCTATACTTGCAGTATTAATAGCAAGACAAAATATGAGCCTCTCGGTTGCAGACTATGGGTTTCTATGCATGATCCCACATAAATCTAAAGCAGCACATCCAAATGTATAATGTTGTTGCACTGTAATATTCATCAGAGAGGTTTTCATCATCGCTTAGCAAAGAAATTCATGGATCTTCCTGGATACAAAGGTAGCTGTTGAAACAAGGAAATGTGATTATTGATCTTATGCTACAAATGTTACAGGGTCAAATGATTGTCCACACAACCCAGACCACCCTCGTTGATTTGAAAACAATGAAACAGATAGGTTGGGTTCCTATCCTGAATGAATTGAGGCCATCTATTTAGTGCAAATTTTCACTATAGCAAATAAAACAAAGGTAGAAAACTTCCTGGATCTACCTTTGTTTTATTTGCTATAGTGAAAATTTGCACTAAATAGATGGCCTCAATTCATTCAGGATAGTAACCCAACCTATCTATTTCATTGTTTTCAAATCAACGAGGGTGGTCTGGGTTGTGTGGACAATCATTTGACCCTGTAACATTTGTAGCATAAGATCAATAATCACATTTCCTTGTTTCAACAGCCCACGAGATGCCATGTGAACGCCAACTCCTTTAAGCACATCTCAAACCTCTGGTCCAGAGTACGCAATGCAAAAGGTCAACAAGCAAGTATCGAGGCGGTAAATGATCAGGGTGGGTGGCTTTGATAGGCCTAATTGTCCTGAAGATCCAGTGCTGGGGAGCAGAGACTCATGAGCAATTACTTGCATGTCCTGAGAGGCGGACTGTGAGAGTGGGCTACACAGATTCAATCAGCCTCACGCAGTGTTGCTAAGTACGCGCCGCTCGCCAAATTGCCTGATTTGCTTTCCCCATCAGCCGAGGACCTGCTGCTTCTGTATCCACTTAGCAGAGACCGGAGAGCTTCTATCTGGTGCTTGCTGGACGCCTGCGCTTTCCTTCTTTGCCAGTACATTAAGGCTTCGGTGTGTTGACCATGACCTTCATAATGCATCAAGCCTTCTCCACAGCATGGCTCTCAATGATGTGGTTAAGCTAGTCTGTCATAAACATCACACCAACCTCATACTAATGGACCCCTTGAGCTGCAGGTTACGGTTTGTTCCCGTTTTCCATTACTAGACCCATATGAAATGAGAGTGAAGACAGCTTCCTGTTGTGTTATAAACTGGAGATCATCATTACCTATGCCTAAGGGAGATGATTCATTTATTAATTTCATAAACATCATGTCAGGAACACAGTAATAGTGAAGTATTTATCATTCGTATATTGTTGGGAGACATTATGAACAAAGAAATTGAATACTTCCGAGAAATAGAAAAATATATAATGCAAGAATTTTTATACAATATTTTTGTTTATGCAGTAGCCTACAATTCAAAAGTTTGGGATCGGTAAGATTTTCTTCTGTTTTTGAAAGACTCACCAAAAGTTACATTTTAAAATAACGGTTTTCCATTGTAATATATTTCAAAATGTAATTTATTCCCGTGATGCAAGGCTGAATTTTTCAGCATCATTAGTCTTCAGTGTCACATGATTCTTCAGATATAATATGCTGATTTGGTGCTCAAGAAACATTTCTTATTATCTTGGTTGAAAACTGTTGTGCTGACCCCGAACGTTTGAGCAGTATATACTGTATATAATTGTTTCGGAAGCAGACTCAAGAGATGGATAATGAAGTTAACATGAGTTTATTGACAACACTGAGCGGAGACAGAATGCAGGTAAGTGATATGAACAATGATACTTTGGAGAGCGGTGTGCACTGTGCAGGCGATGAGTGGAATGGTTCTTCTTACAGGTATGGAGACTGATCGTGGTTGAGACGGAGGCTGGAACGAAGAACACTGAAGACGATGGAGTGGAGACTGGTCATTGGAGAATCAAGGTTAGCGATAGCAGGGTAAGTAGTCCTCTTTGTATGAACCAGACCAGACAGTGAACAGAGGTGAAGAGTGTGGGAACAGAGGAGAGTGATGGGAAGTGTAGTGCTGGAACCTGGCAGACCTGGAACTATAATATACTGTATATATAACAGTATATAATACAGTATATAATATATACCGGTCAAATGTTTGGAAACATTTAGGTTTTTTAATGTTTTTGAAAGTCTCTTATGCTCACTAAGGTTGAATTCATTTGATCAAAAATACAGTAAAAACAATAATACGGTGAAATATTATTACAGTTTAAATGAACTGGTTTCATATTTTAAAAATGTAATTTATTCCTGTGATGCAAAGCTGAATTTTCAGCATCATTACTCTTCAGTGTCACGCGATTCTTCAGAAATCATTCTAAGTATATTTATTATTATTATCAATGTTGAAAACAATTTTAGCTGCTTATTTTTTATTTTATTTTTTGTTGAAAATCATAATACAGTGCCATTCAAAAGTTTGGGGTAGTTAAGATTTTTTTTTAAAGAAAAGGAAATTAATACTTTTATTTAGCAAAGGCACATTCATTTGATTAAAAATGACAGTTAAGACATTTGTGAAAATAATAAATATTACAAAAAAAGTTATATTTATAATAAATGCTGTTGTTGAACTTTCTATTCATCAAAGAATCCTGAAAAAAGTCATTACAAATCACAGTTTTCTCAAAAATATTAAGCAGCAAAACTGTGTTTAACATCTATTAAGAAATGTTTTTTTCAGCAACAAATCAGCATATTGGAATAATTTCTGAAGGATCACGTGACACTGAAGACTGGAGTAATGGCTGATGAAAATTCAGCTTTTCATCACAGTAATAAATTACATTTTTAAAATATTTTACAACAAAAAACAGTTAATTTAAATTGTAATAATATTTCACATGTGACTGTTTTTACTGTATTTTTGATTAAATAAGCCTTTGTGAGATTGTGAGAAAAAACCTTAATGTTTCCAAACTTTTGACCGGTACAGTGTATATATATTATGGACAACTTTTAAAGGTTTATTTCTATATAAATGCAGACTCTTAGGTGCCCATAACGCAAGTATAACACGTTTTCCTTATATTGCTTGGTAAAAAAAAAAAATTCTTTTAACATGCTGGAGGGTTTTCCGTTTGTTGTTCACAATCAATCTTATGTCCAGTGCCATTTCAGTTCATTTTTACCTGGAGGGAAATTATGCTTGTATAGCTGAAACGTATATTTTCACAGTAACACTCAAACGCACAGTACACGCATTCATCCAGTACAGCACACCGAGATTAAATGAACGGTCCATGTGACATGTCATTAAATAAAACACCAAACAACCAACAGCATACGGCCACAGATAATCAAATTGTTTGAAGCTATCTTTATTAAATTGAAGAAAACATAACAAAAGCAACCGCTGCAAATTACGTTCATTTGAGGTATGACGAATTCAACCAATTTCAAAAGCAAACCGTACAAATGTTTCAGTAACAAACCTGAATCGAGTTCTTTATAATGCTCAGCGGCGTGCATCCATGAGGCAAACCCATAATTTGAAGAAAAATTGGCATAAAACTTCTCCAAAAATATGTAGCCACATACAGGACTTAACATAGGCCCACAGAAGATAAAATGTACTATAGCATGTCTATATATCATGTGCATTTGTCAACTTGTGTGTTCAGACAGACCTATGCATTTTAAGAATTTACGCAAAAGACAGATTCATAAGAAAATGCTACATGAGGAAAGAGAGAGGAGCAGCAAAAGCTAAAATGCATATCGTACACCACATATCATGGGAGCTTAAGACATTCCCAATAAAACATGAACATGCTTCACAGCAATGGCAGCAGCAGAGGTGTATAATACTTGATATTTCTCAATAAGGCAATATCTTTACATAGAAAAGAATGGCACGTTGCTTAGCACAGTGTAAAGATTGACTACATTATGTATAGGCCCACTATACTATATATCTAAAATAATAAACATGTGCAGGAAGTGAAATCATTACCCCTTATCTATGCTTTAATATTACGGATTTAGCTTATGTCCTGCTCTATGTGTATGGAGGCACATAAAGTGTGGGTTGGGTTACTATTAAAATATCTATTATGTGCGAGTAAATTTCTGCATGTGATAATATAAAAGTAAATATCTGAACTGTTTTTTTTCCCCTAACTCAAGTTCAATATAAAAAAACAATACTTTCTCCTGTACCATACAGTATTTTTTTTTCACTACACCTATATCTACACTACATATATCTCTGATATGAGCTTCAGCATCAAGCCCTCCCCTCTGGCTCATTGTTCAACAGTTTTTGGATCCATTTGTCTCAGGCGTACCTGTGTGTTTGCACAATAACAAAGGCTCAGCATCATAATTATGCCACTTCATTCTACTGCGGAACAATAGACACTTGAGTTGTACAAAATAAATGATTAAATCAACAATACATTTGATTAGCCCAAGCTGTTATTATGAAAACACATACACTGCCCTCCAAAAGCAATTTGATATAAAAAACTTAGACCCACAGTAAACAAATACTGTGGGTCTAAGACGATAAAATAACTCCAGAATTGATGTGTGGACTGTAAATAACAGCAGATTTTAGACCTTTCACATACTAAGGAGAAAAAACTAACCACAAAGTCTGTCAGACCTGGCAGAACATCAACAGGGAAGATCAGTCGTGTTATGTGATGTCATTTATGAAGCTCAGCTCACCCAAAAATTAACGTTCTGTCATTTTTGTGTTCACAGTAACGCCGTTCACAGTAACCTGTATGCTGTTATTTTTTGACGGTAGAGCATTAAAACAGAACTGTGAAGAATCTTCCTCGTGGCTTTTTTCTATACTATGACACTTCATAGTGACCGGCTCTGAAAATAAAACCAAAAAATGATCCATAGGTGTCCTGCCCTATATTCCCTGAAGCCGTTATTCAATGGAAATCTTTCAACTGCTGAATCAGCGAACCGGAAATGTGATTGAATTGTTCTTTTGAGTTTGTTCTTTTCAATGAATTCGTTCATGGATCAACTCACTGACTTCATGACCCAGTCTGAATAGAGCTAAAGTATCAGTGAATAACGGCTTCAAATTTGGTCTTCCACTTTTATGGGTCTTACTTTTTTATGGGTTTTTCGGCCACTACTGTTTTTGCAAACGATGAGACTAAAATCTGCATTAAAACTGCTTAAATGTAGACAGAATTATCATTTTCAGGTCATATATGTCTTTAGCTTCTGTTGGCATATGCAATATGAAGTATTAAAAGCAATTCTTTATGTAGAAGAAAACAAAAGAAACGGTTTGTGAGACTGTCTGAATGCCTCTGGAGTCTTAAAAACAGTTGGGTCACAATTAAATTGAACACAAAATCAGAAGAAAGTCAAACGCTTTTGGAAGGCACTGCAACTACAACAGACACCTAAAACAAGTTAGGACCCAGTATTCAAGCATCATAGGCAAACCCAGGGCCAATTAAAGGGTTAGTTCACCCAAAAATGAAAATTATGTCATTAATGACTCACCCTCATGTAAGACCTCCGTTCATCTTCGGAACACAGTTTAAGATATTTTAGATTTAGTCCGAGAGATTTAGTCCGTTCCGAAGATGAACGGAGGTCTTACATGAGGGTGAGTCATTAATGACATAATTTTCATTTTTGGGTGAACTAACCCTTTAAGCTCCTTCTTCACCATCATATACCTCCACTGTGTTTCTCTAAAAACAGAGAACAGGTAAGAGTGACAAAAGCGCTCAAAATAAGCTCATCTATACAACTTAACAAGCAACACTTTTTCTGTACAAACTTTTCAACAGCATACAATTACATCTGTGAGAAATCCACCGACTAGGTTTTCAACATGTGGCTTGAGAACTCTTAACAGTCTACGATTACAAAAAAAAAATCTCCAGTTATTATTTCTTATATTATAATGCATTATTTCATAAAATAGCTCTAGTTAAAAGCAGCTTTGTCCCGTTATTGAGTATATTATCCTGGCAAGAACGATTTAGCTTCATTTGATGGCCAGTCTTTGTGTAATCCAAGTCCAAAAATTGGCACTTCTTTCCCAGCTATTCCATAATGTAACTCCCATTGTAAATGCATGTATACATTTATAGTGTCTCCGTCAATATAAAACTGCTACATGTACAAAGGTAAAATATAAGAAAACCTGCCATTCGGTTTTGCATTGCACAGCAAAGACTACAAACATTTAATTTTTGACATTTCCCCTGGATATATTAATACAAACAAAGACAAGTTCATTTCTTGCTCTTTGAACAAGGCAAGGTAACAGCTTGTTCTGTGGGCCAATGTCATTACAATCACTTGTCTCGACATTTTCTAGCAATGATCGCAAATATTACACTCATATATAGTGATGCCGAAATACACATCGGCACCACAACCCCATTTCTTAGCGTTTTAGCATATTGGAAAAAAGTTCATTTACTAAGTTTATCTATCTGGCTATGGCAAAGGATAAAATGTGCAGGATGGATGCAGCGCACAAAATGGCTCCCATTCATTTTTCTCCTAAAAATATAAAAAAAAAAAAATGAGTCTCCTTCATCCACAAAACGAAATGTTTCTGGTATTGTGATATGATGCAATGAAATATATTTAATATTCCATCTACGAGCAAAAGTGGGTTGATGAATTGCAGTAAAGTGATACGTCTTTTACCTGTAACTTTGTAATAATATAAACACGTTTTCAAAATGGTTCTCTGACACAGCAAGCGAGCATATTTCTGTAGTGAATTTTCGTTTTTGCATGTAACCAGCTGACGTTTCTGATTGTAAATCGATAACGCATTATAACTCTCTCGGCGAGCTAGCGTAGCACAACTGCAACAGCAGAAAAGAGAAGAAACGTTTTCAGGGTAGTCCATTTTATAGCGTACAGCAGAGTAAATCCATGTGCAGAATTCCCAAACAAAATGTTATATCCGTCCTGTGTTGTTCTTGCGACTTTGGTTTCCAGCAGTGAGATTGTACAACAAGACCATCAACTTTGCGTGTCTTCAATCTTTAGTGTCTTCATGGAGTCAGGTTTCCCAGAAGGTCTGGGGTGAGGTACCCCATAGGCATGGTTGGCATCGCAGGGAGGTGTTTGTTTGGGCTGTGCGAACAGACCGTGGGCTGCGAGGAAGGAGGATTCAGGAGGAGGCTGTGCTGGCCGTCCACTTCCTGCACTACAGTATAGTCTGACACTGGTGGCAGTATGGGGACTGGAGGAGCCTCGGGAAGTAGGTACGGTGTTTGGGAATCGCTGGCGGACACCAGGTACTCTCCATTCCAGAGGTTCTCCTCAACAGCCAGGGTTGGGAATGATTGGTACCCCTGCTCAGGACCAGGGCTGGGTGGCACGTCGGCGGAAAGCTGCCTGGGCGTGTTCTCCGAGGTGTGGGCTCTGTCGGAAAGCAGCTGGAATTGTATCTTCTTCTTCTCGTTTTCTTCCTCTTTCTTTTTTTCTGGAGAGCCGTTCAGCTGTCCAGGTGAGAGCACCACTCCTCCCGCTGGTGTGAAATCACTTACTTGGGCATAAAAGTTCATGTTAACCCAGCTGGGCACAGCAGGTTGTGTTTGAACGGGCGTCTCCACCACTTCTGATGTCTGCTGGACGCCGAGGTCAGGGATAGACGAGCTGCTTCTGGAAACCAGCGGTTGCTGCTCTCCCCGTCCAGAATGGCCAGGCAGAAGGGAAGCCATGTCCTCAGGATCTGGGATTTCTGGGTCGTAGCAGCTAGCACGACCCGAATCGTCGTCGCTTTTGAAATTAAGGACGCGAGAAGAGCCCGAGCGGGACAGGCCCAGCAGGTGTTGTGTATCAGAGCCATCGTTCTTCTCTGCAGGGTCGTCAAGGTCCAGCTGGATGAACTCCACCCATGGGTCTTCATGATAGAAGTCCGGCTTGTACATATCTTGACTGCTCAGCAAAGAATTGAGCTGGTCAAGCTTTCCATTCTGTTGGTGAAGGAGAGAATATATAGTGTTATTAGACAGGACCTACAAAAGTCCTGTATGCAAAAAATGTTATAAAACAAATACACTCATTTTCAAAATCATTCGTATTATTGGATGCATCAAAAACAGCATTTCCATGTGGGCATTCGTGTGTTTGTTCTGGGGTGTAATTGTTTAACGCTTACAATGCACTCTAAAAATGGAGTATGAGGGTTGTTAAACTAAGTCCCAGTGCTTTCTGGAAGTAGAAAATTATAGGAGAATGGCCACAACATGTCAACAATTATGACCTTTTCAAAACAATCTCGCTCTGCAGCGATTCCTGCCATTTTGCAATTCATGCCAGATTCGTAAACAGGCTCAATTTTATAATGCCGCAATTTGAACAATTCTAATGAAAGACTTTGCGTTATGTACTTATTCATGTATTCACCTCTCATTGTTCTGATGATAATTGTTGTAATGCATTTTATAATGTGCAACATGCAAGGCTTAATGAAATTTAAGAAAAAATTCTTAAAGGGATAGTTCACCCGATAATTCTGTCATTTACTCACCCTGAAGTTGTTCCAAACCTGTATGAGTTTGTTTCTTCTGCTGAACAAAAAAGAAGATATTTTGAAGAATGTCGGAAAACAGACAGTTGATGGACCCCATTGACTTCAGTAATATTTTTTTTTCCATACTATGGCAGTCAATGGGGTCCGTCAACTGTTTTACTCATATTCAAAATATCTTCTTTTGTGTTCAGCAGAAGAAAGAAATTCATACAGATTTGTGGGTGAACTATCCCTTTAAATCTTTCTTCCTATCATATTTATAAACAGAAAAGCACCAGGCATTACATTTTCCATTCTATACATACTGTATTACACATGGTTATAATTGCAGTTGCAAAACCAAAACAAATATAATTTGTATGAAAAAGATGAACAAAATGATGAAAATACATGACGATTGAAATGCGAAGTCTTATGTTTTATGCAAAATTACCTTTAGCAGCTCTGGGTCGATACCTTTAATTTTAGGTGCAGGAATAGGTGGTAAAAAGATTACCATCAACCTGTGGGAAAAAATGTAGCAAAATGTTGTAAATGCAAACCATTTCATGAATTTGTAATTGTGTATAGTCAAAGCAACTCCCTGCTTACAGCTTAACAAATTACGTTCAGGTCATATTTCACCCCAAAATAAATGCTAAAAAAATTGATAAAAAACAAATAACATATATAGTATTTTATTTAAAACAATAATGAATTAGTATTATTATTACTATTATATAAAAAATATATTATAATATTAAATAATACATTTAAAGTACATTTGCACACAAAAAAAATACAAATTTGTATATCACAGTGGTATTTGGTGTATTGAATTTTATTTATGCAGTTTTTTTTTTCTTTTTGTAATATGTGTGTTAGATTTTGTGTTCATTTTTCACATTACAATAATGAAACTTTGGGGCTAAAATGTGTTTAATTGTCATAATCTTAAATAACCTAAATGGTTTAAAAAAAGGCTTACTTTTTATTGTTGAATATAATTTTTAATTTAAAAAAATTGTATATGGATTTGGGGATGAAATATGACCAATATGACTATATGAATATTTCTTTGTGAGATACACCTTATAGGCGTTATAAACAAAATCTCTCACTTCTGCTGCTGGGAGAAGATGAGGAGGACAAGAAGAATCACCACTCCAATAACTCCAAAAATCAACACCAACGTCGTCGGGAATGTTGATTCTGCGTAAAGAAAAATGGTCTTTCCTTACCCTGAAGCAATTTGCTTAAATGATTCATGATAGTCAGCTGCACAGCTGGATTCACTTTCTGCAAAAAAAACAAGTTAAGCTCTTGATGTTGACTAACCTTTGCTTGGTATCTGTGCCACATGGACAATGATGCTGTTGCTGAATTCGCCAAAGTTGTCAAAGGATGACATCTTGCAGCGCACACGGACTTCATACTCTTTGTCAGTGAGCAGACCGTAGATGGACTGCTGTGTGCCACTCTCCAGGACCAGCTGCAATAAAAGAGGATGAAAAAGTAAATAAGAAATCAAGGGATTGAGGAAAAAAAAACTGGCATTTGTGAGCAATTAGATATGTGACATGGATATGTGAAAATAATGTTTTCTCCGAGTGTGTCAATATAATATGTCTGTCTGTCTGTCTATCCATCTATCCATATATCTATCTATCTATCTATCTATCTATCTATCTATCTATCTATCTATCTATCTATCTATCTATCTATCTATCTATCTATCTATCTATCTATCTATCTATCTATCTATCTATCTATCTATCTATCTATCTATCTATCTATCTATCTATCTGTCCGTCCATCCATCCATCTATCCATCTGTCTGTCTGTCTGCCTGTCCAGCCAAGTTTTCTCCAAGCCAAGATTTGTAAAATGCCATTTTAGCACCGTATTTTAACCCACAAAGAGAATAACTGTCAAGAACCTCACTAAAAATAACCCTAAAGTTTATTAAGTAAGTAAGTAAAGTTTATTTCTAAAGCGCTTTTCACAGATAAAATCACAAAGTGCTGTACACGAGAAAGGTAAAAACAAAACCATTATATAAACAATATAAAATGTATATACAGTACATATGTAAAATCAAAGTGACACTAGTTAAAACCCATCAACCAAAAGCTTTCATAAATAAACAAGTCTTCAGATCTTTTTTAAAAGAGTCAACAGAGTCAGCCAGACGCAGAGACAGGGGCAGGGCGTTCCACAGTCTGGGGGCAACAGACTGAAAAGACAGGTCCCCTCGGGTCTTATAACGAGTCTTGGGGACCATAAGAAGGTTCTGGCCAGAAGACCGAAGAGTGCGGCTAGAGGAGTGCGGACGCAAAAGGTCCTTGATGTACTGTGGGGCCTGACTGTTTAAGGCCCTGAAAGTCAGCACTAAAATCTTAAAATCAATCCTATATTTTACAGGGAGCCAGTGGAGAGTCAACAAAACGGGAGTGATATGAGACCTTCTGGGGGCACCAGTTAAAAGTCTAGCAGCACAATTTTGGACCATTTGCAGTTTGTTCAGAGCAGACTTATTCAAAAAGGTAAAGACAGAGTTACAATAATCAAGTCTAGTTGATATGAAAGCATGAATAATAATTTCCAGATCCTTCTTTGACAACATTTTACGTATTTTAGAGATATTCCTGAGGTGATAGAAACAGTGAAATAACTGTGAAACTCCCTTGGGGAAACTAAAATATAAAGTACTTGTGTGTGTGACCTCAGCAGAAGACCTACAGAAATAACTATAACAGTGAATCATTCCCCTCTCATCCATTCAGGCCTGGCAGCATACGGCAGTGATTTAACATGTGGCTGAATGTGGTTTTTCGTGCGTCTGGGCAGGACCGTTGGGCAGGCCGGGGGAACGTGGCTGTCAAGGAGTGTAAACCGAGAGAGAGGTTCTTAAAGATCCTGCCAGACGCAAAGATCTCCCTACATGTGCCTGAATTACAGAGCGCACAGGACTGCTCTGGACCAGTGGTGACCCTTTTAGAAAGAGTAGATGGATACTGGCTTATGTTGCGTCTCCAACACAAAATTGTATTTCTCAGAATACAATAAATAGGATGGTACAACCATTTTCCTCCACCGCAATGGCTGAGAGTCCACCAAGAGAGAGGAAGATCAAAACAGCTAGAGCAGAATGTTCTGTGATGGTCTGATGAACTCTGCCTTGCTTTGCTAAATGGATTCTCTAGGTTTATATTATTTCATGTCACAGCACTGCTGAATGCTTGATTCTGACTGGCAGATGTGAAATGTTAAAGGTTAATTTGAATATATTAATATGAAAAATATATTATTTAAACAGCATTTGTACAATTATGCATGCCATGACAACCCTTTTAATTAAGATACTAAATAGTAGTATAAATACATATAAATATATACTGTATGTGCGTGCGTGTGTATGTATGTATGTATGTATATTTATACACACACACACACACACACATACATATATTATAAAAGTTACATGCGATTAATCACGATGAATTGATTTGACAGCACTAGTATAAATATAATTATACATTACCAGTCAAAAGTTTGGAATAATTATGATTTTTAATGGTTTTGAAATAAGTTTGATCAAATTTGATCAAAAATAAAGTAAAACTGTAATATTGTGAAATATTATTACAAAATAACTATTTTCTATTTGAATATATTAAAATATAATTTATTCCTGTGATGGCAAAGCTGAATTTTCAGCATCATTACTCCAGTCTTCAGTGTCACATGATCCTCCAGAAATCATACTAATATGCTGATTTGGTGCAAAATTATTATCAATTATTACTTGTACTCAATTATTAATAATGATTCTTGTTTTTGCTGCTATATTGTTGTGGAAACCATGATTTTCAGGATTATTTGATGAATAAAGTTCAGGAGGACAGCATTTATTTGAAATAGAAATCTTTTGTAACATTATAAATATCTTTATAAATATATTTACCCCAAATAATACTAACTTTTTTTTTACTTTTTTTTCATAAATCGCTTTTAATATATTGAATGCATGGCAATTTCAGCATCCGGGTATAGGCTGAAAATAAATGATGTATGTGATTAGAAGTCGCATGTATGGCTAAGAATCAAACGAGTTTCTCCCACACACAATGTTGTTACTTCAATAATTCCTTGTAAAAAAAATCATTGCAAACTGAAATATTAAATTTTTCTGGTGCTAGAGACCTACCATCTCCCATTGGGAGGTGTTCCTGACCCGGTGCTGAACCTGGTAAGCCAGATTCATCCAGCCCATCTGCACATCTGCGGACGGAGGGGGAGCCCAGCGCACAAGGATGTCAAAGTACAACCCTGAGCGACTCACGTTCAGTAGAGTCCAGTTCAGCCCAATTGGTGGGTCGGGATGAACTAGGAAGTCACAAAACATTTAAGTCAGGCCTCCAACATAGATTTTCTGTTACTGTGTCAAAACCTTAATTAAGCACTTTCACAGATATTAACTTACCAATGTTCTCCACTGTAAAGCAGATCTCATCATAGGTTATGTTCTGAGGAACCGAGCGCAGACGGACGCAGTACGAAATCCAGATGTGTGTGAAGGTCTTGTTGAAGTAGCATTCGTTTTCCACAGTACGTGTGTAGTCTGGACACTCCTGCCACTCACTAGGGAGGGCACTAAATATCAAATAATGATGAAAAACATAATATTAGATGTATATGAATATTAGACATCTCAGTAATTTTCCACTGCATGGATTTATCAGTAAATGTATGGTAGTTGACTTGAAATACTTACAAATTATATATTGAAAACAGCGTTTGATGATTATTTTATAATTATTATGCATGCAGCTTTTATAAACTCATATTAATTAAAACATATTTTACTTGCACTTTTAATCATTCATTTGTTAAAACCGTATGTAAAATAAAAAGGTACTAAAAAGTTGACTTAAAACGGTGAAAAAACTTGGTGAGAAGCCACAGCACTTAAAATATTCACTTTTGCTTATAGTCATAAATACTCTGCCAAATAACACACAATTTAAGCATGACAATATTGAATATTTTATATACATTATATATATTATATTATATTAATGTCACGTTCACTTTTGGTTTCAGTTACCTTTTCATGGCGTCCGAAATTGAATACTGAAATTGATTTGTCTCTTACTTTTTGGTCTGGTAAAAGACCCTGAGTGCTCCAGGCTCGGTGAGGTTCTGGAAGGTCCCAGCACTCCACCAGCAACGAAAGGTCTCCTGCTCTCTGGAGCGGCAGCCCATAAAATGAGGTCCTCTGTTGGGATCTGATGCAGGAAGGGAAGATAAAACGAAGGAATAAATTATTCTTTTATTAAATCTTATTAAATATGTACTGTATGCATGTTATGTTTTGGCACATTGTGAACTCTGTCCTCTGCAGTTGAGCTCTTCTGGTGCCAAGTTCACTAGCAGGCCTCTCCATCCTCTGCTTTTGCGCAGCCATAAATAAGAATTGGAGGATGCAATTGATTTTTCGCCCTCTAACTGCAGTATAAATCAGCAGACCTAGCACGTGGCACCAAATCCGCTAGGTATCAAGATTTTCTATGACACCGTGTTTTTATTTGATCCATTTCTAAATTGTACCTGTAAGAGTAAATCTAGCTTAAATTAATAGTGGCTTTGGGAATGGAGAGGGACGTTAAAATATCAAATTTCCTCTGAAGAAACGTTTCTGCTGAGGATCACCAGCACAACCATTTTTCCCATTCTCCTTCGTCCAGCCCTCTTCTAGTGACAACAAGATATATTTCCCCCCATCCCACAGCTGCTGAGCACGGCAAAACAGCCCTCACAGCGACGCTGGTTAGGACTGATTGTGTGGGGAAGGGATTTTCAGTGGCTTAAGTGAGTTCACGAACACACATCCACATCCACATCTAATGTAAACCCAAACCTTGCTTGTGAGGGTTTGCTGAATTACTAAAATGAGAAAAACATATTCTTGTGATTTTACAGTAAAAACAGAGGTATTTTAAAACTACTTTATAATGCTCAACATGAACAACAACAACTTGGGTAATATTTTTTAAATCACATTGTCCAAAAGGAACAAAAAAAAACAGGGATGAACAAAATATATTTGTACCATTAAGGCCCCGATATACTCACGGCGAAGTTCTTTTTCATTCTTCACTTAGGGGTAAAACGAAGTTCGAAAGACGTGAGCAGCGATATACTGTTAGCGAACATCTGACGCCGCCGACTCTGCTGAGAGCGACATTTAGATGATTATGTAAATATGTCCTGTGCACTTTCCTCTCAATAACAAAATAAACGCAACAAAAATGAGAAAACAGAAAGCATTTGTAAGAAAGCATCTGATAATAGCAACGTGGATATGTTTGCACAAGCTCTGCAGTTCTAGCCTGGGAAAACCCAGACAACTTCCGGCAAATTTAGATTTGCTCTGAAAGTTAGTCTGGCAAAGAGCTCATTCAAGCCCATTTCCAATCCGTCGAAATCGAGGCACCAATCAGAAACGTTGGGGCGGGCTTTACACGATGACGACAGCGCTGGGATTTTGAAGCCTACATTACAAAGATGGATGCCGCATCCGTCGAACATCACTCGTTCGAATCAGCTATCGCGTCTGTTTTAAGCAATTTGAACGTTTCCTTTTTGTTAAAAACCGAGCAAAGAACAACACTTTGTTTCTCCGCCGCTCTGCATACGTCATCTCCTTCATCACTCTGATTGGTTTTAGGTCTATCCGCGATGTCTGTTGGTGACGCCCCTCTGGAAGTGATTTGTCTATGACGCTTTGCCAGACCATAACTCAACTGAGAATGGTCTGGTTTTAACCAGGCTAGTGCAATTCCGCACTCTAACAATAAATTGCTTGATTTTAAGCGGCTTTACCATGTTAAACATGAAACACAGTGTCAGTGTCTCGCTATTAATAATCATTAATAAAGACTAAAGCTTTAGTCTGGATCTTCTCAGTATCTAGAACTCACCCTCTCCCCCTTTCTGACTCCCAAAACTCTGTTATTGCTGCTCCCTCCCCCTCGAAATTCCGGCATGTGCAATAAAAGAGCCGGCTATATGGAAGAGATTAGGTCTGAGATGAACAGATGATTTGTGGGCCACTGCGGAAAGGATGGGGACGGAACAGATAGACATTATCACTACTAAATTGTTCCTGGTCAATATTTGGTTTGGTGCTGCAAAGGGGGCAAAAATCAGCCTAGCGGTCGAGCACACACAATTTGCCCTCTAAAAAACGTTGCAAAAGCAGCTGTAAAAAGGCCAAATATTTAGATTTGGGAAAAGTTTCAACTGTGTTAGATGTCAGTGTGGGAGACTTTTTAATTCACTGACAAATCTGATGTGGTACAAGAGGATAAATAAAAAAATGTGCTTTGGCTATATTTTCTTATCCTTTGCTACAATACCATCTCCCATCATATTCACAATAAGCAGAGCCTGCAAACTCTTTCCGGGACGTTTCACCACAATCTCTTTTCTGACAATTATACAAACAGTGAGTTATGCCGTTTTTGAGTGTATGCTGTTGGAACTGTGATCTCTAAGTCAGAGCTTTTGAGCCAAAGTACTTGCGCAAAAAGAGCTCATCTATCATTCTGATGTGTTGGCTTGGCAGTGTTGTGGAATACTACTCGGTGTATGTGGTTGTGCGGGCGTGAATATTTTGGACTGACCAATAATTCCTACACAAGAGACATTACAAATCATTGATGAAATGCAATACTTGTTCCAGTTTGAAATGTAGCAACTAAATAAAAATGACAAAAGCATAAGATTCGGGTTTTTTTTCCAGTTAGAACTTTGATACTGATTTTGAAAGACGTGAAGCCAAAATAATTTGTGTGATTTGTGTGTTCAATTTTTTTCCGCTTCATGTCTGTTACTTATGAATAATAAATGAACATGTTGCTTATGCACACACCTACTGCTTGGAAACGTAAATAAAGCCACTGCTTGTGTGGGTGAAGATTTCCCACGAATGAAAAGCATGATGTTCACTCAGCTCCCCGCAAAGAGAGACCACCGGTAACTAGGATACCGGTTCAGACCGAAAGCCAGGACAAATGTTTTCCACTTCGGCTAACTGCAAACTACTGAATAAATTTGCCACATTTGCCAATTAAACCATCTTGATGGATTGCAATCACTTAAAAAAGCACCTTTATCACTGGCTGTCCAGCAAATGTCTTGATTAGCTCAGGGTTATGAGCTGCTGAGCAGATGCTCCATCTTTTCCAACTCATTTGCTGCAAAGACGACAGTTTAATAGCAGAATCAGAAGAAGGGCATACTTCAGTGAATCTAATCAACAGAAGAAAGTAGCATGTGTCTGTTACACAGGAGTACTTTTCACAGCACTTACATAACGTCTTGTGTGCTTCTGTGTGTATGCGGTTACAGTTGTGCGTCATTCAGTACCCATGTGAAATCCATTTGACAGTGAGCATCACTGTGCCTACTGACACTGAAGGACACAGCACCTGAAGTAAGTACTAACAAGCTGTACTTCACAAAGCTGTACATTTGTGACCCTTTAATCTGAATCCTAATGGTACATTCATAATCTTTTATTAGAGAAACGGCTAGTTACCAATGTTTTGAAATAACAAACATTCTAAAAACGGAATTTCTATACTGTGATTGAAATACAAATTCCTTACAGATTGAAAGACAAATTTGAATCCCATTCCTTATGATTGTGTTTTTATGAAAGAATTCAAACAGAACATTTCAAACTTAGAACCATAGAGAAAATGTTTATATAATTCACAAATTACAACATAAGATGATAAACCAAACATATAATCAAGATGTAGCATATACATAAACTATCATTCAAACGTTTATTTGTGTGTGTCAAATCAATTAAACGCAATTAATCGCATCTAATATAAATTTTTTTTTGTAATATACATGTGAATATATTTTATATTTATATGCATATAATATACACTCACCGGCCACTTTATTAGGTACCCCATGCTAGTAACGGGTTGGACCCCCTTTTGCCTTCAGAACTGCCTCAATTCTTCGTGGCATAGATTCAACAAGGTGCTGGAAGCATTCCTCAGGGAGTTTGGTCCATATTGACATGATGGCATCACACAGTTGCCGCAGATTTGTCGGCTGCACATCCATGATGCGAATCTCCCGTTCCACCACATCCCAAAGATGCTCTATTGGGTTGAGATCTGGTGACTGTGGAGGCCATTTTAGTACAGTGAACTCATTGTCATGTTCAAGAAACCAATTTGAAATGATTAGAGCTTTGTGACATGGTGGAAGTAGCCATCAGAGGATGGGTACATGGTGGCCATAAAGGGATGGACATGGTCAGAAACAATGCTCAGGTAGGCCGTGGCATTTAAACGATGCCCAATTGGCACTAAGGGGCCTAAAGTGTGCCAGGAAAACATCCCCCACACCATTACACCACCACCACCAGCCTGCACAGTGGTAACAAGGCATGATGGTTCCATGTTCTCATTCTGTTTACGCCAAATTCTGACTCTAACATCTGAATGTCTCAACAGAAATCGAGACTCATCAGACCAGGCAACATTTTTCCAGTCTTCAACTGTTCAATTTTGGTGAGCTCTTGCAAATTGTAGCCTCTTTTTCCTATTTGTAGTGGAGATGAGTGGTACCCGGTGGAGTCTTCTGCTGTTGTAGCCCATCCGCCTCAAGGTTGTGCGTGTTGTGGCTTCACAAATGCTTTGCTGCATACCTCGGTTGTAACGAGTGGTTATTTCAGTCACTGTTGCCCTTCTATCAGCTCGAACCAGTCTGGCCATTCTCCTCTGACCTCTGGCATCAACAAGGCATTTCCACCCACAGAACTGCCGCTCACTGGATGTTTTTTCTTTTTCGGACCATTCTCTGTAAACCCTAGAGATGGTTGTGCGTGAAAATCCCAGTAGATTAGCAGTTTCTGAAATACTCAGACCAGCCCTTCTGGCACCAACAATCATGCCACGTTCAAAGTCACTCAAATCAACTTTCTTCCCCATACTGATGCTCGGTTTGAACTGCAGGAGATTGTCTTGACCATGTCTACATGCCTAAATGCACTGAGTTGCCGCCATGTGATTGGCTGCTTAGAAATTAAGTGTTAACGAGCAGTTGGACAGGTGTACCTAATAAAGTGGGCGGTGAGTGTATATATATATACACACAGTCAAATAAAAAATTATTCAGACACCAGATATAATTTGATATTTTCTTACTAGTGGGTGCAGGACACTATAGTTAATTTATGTAAGTGAGGATAGCA